TGTTCAGTCACAATAGTATTGCTGAAATATGTTATTGTTGACAAATCGCAAGCGAGAAACACTTCAGGTTGTGGTGTTGATGAACGATGGTATGTCGCAGGATCCATGGGATAAGGTTCTAAGTGCGAGTGAATTGCTTCGTTCAACTGGTGCCGAGCGTTTCGGTGTTGCTCTTGGAGATAAGGTTGACCTCCGTGAACTGAAGCATTATATAGGTGATGAGAAGCGAATCTATCGAGATGGATCTACGGAAAGGTTAGCGAGGATTTCATTGTTTCGAGCTTCAACCTACGCCATTCTCATATTGAAACAGGAATCGTATTGATGAGAGTTAGGTGTTGGCTGTATCGTAAAGAATTGCTAAATTACGAGTAGCGAGTCACTAGAGTAAGCTTGTGGAAAAGTCACATAAATGCGATCATAAGAAAATCACGTTGATGTTAAAGTTGAAACGTTCACTTGATCCCATAAACATTTCGCTTTTCATTGATGATATATATTTTGGTGCCAAATCCTTCGAAAACTGATCTACTGCACTCTCAAACGACAACTTGTATATTACACCGTAGCGCTAATTTCATCCTCTGACTTCGTAAAAAAAAATAAACGAATGATGATTAAAGTCAATAAAATGAGAACAATTCCCATCTGACAACGGAATTTGCANGAAACGACAGTGGTGAAACCATTAGAGAAGCCTTTGGAGGATTGTAAGCAATCGAATGTCGATTTAATGGTTGTATTCGATAATTCAGACGTAACGTCCAATCTCTCAGATCCTTCTGTCGGCTCCAATAGATACCTTTTGCTTGATCTACTCGGTAAGTTCATGCAAACATGCAACGTTTTGTGATTCAGTGAATGAAGGAGAGGTTCGCATGATGAGGCTCAAAAATCACATGACTTTCACTCGAAATTCCAATAGCTGATTGTTCCACTTCTCGTGACAATTTCAGTTAACTCTCACACTTACACTCCGTGATGAGTTGCTGCTAATAGACGTTATTGCTTAAAGTCAACTTTAAAAAGTCTAGAACAAGTACGATAGATGTACTCGAAATTTCAATCAGCGTATCGTTACAAATCAATTTAGGAGGACAATGGTTGTATTACAGCGACTACAGATGTCCTCCAGGAAATAAACATAGATTATTGCTAATTACAAAATCTTCAGGATCACTACCCACAACCGCAGATGGTAAAAGGATCAAATTGTCAATCATATCGTTCGCTGATGAACCGGATCTTTTGGTTACCTTCAACGACAACCAAAAGCGAGATGCAATATTCCGAAAGGTTGAAGGCATCGAACCTGAGCATGGAAAACCTAAATACGCAAAAGCGCTGAACTTTGCCCTCGAGTAAGTCTCCACGTTTTGGTTTCACTGGAAAATTGCAACAACATTTAGTCAGGAAATGACTTTATTAGCGTGAAAAAGGCAGTTGTGGATTTTTTTTCTCACTATCTTGGGATATTTGGAGTTTTTAGAGTTACAAACATCCTCAAATNATATTTCTAAGGCGATTTGTTACGCTTACTTGTTCGTTCAGAGAATACGAAAAGTCCCGCCGAGCAGACGCTCGTGGTATTCTGCTGATAGTCGGTGATGGCAGAGCCGAGGATACGGACAGTGAGCGCAATGCAGCATCCAAGAATCTCAGGAAGGTATGATCATTTCCGAGCGACGTCTTTAACATTCCTAATCATTGCTTGAAATTTGAAATGAAATAAGCTTTTTTCCAACGGTAAATGCTGTTTTGAGATGTTGCCGATTCAAAACAGTATTTGAAATGTTGAGAATGAATGATGCGTAAGTGTCCTCCAGAGATGAAAGAGTTTAATCATTCGGGTTTGTGACCTAATTTTGTTAATATCAAAATCATCTTGCACTGATTTCAGCAAGGCAAGTTATCGTGTTTCGCAGTTGACAGCGGTAAATCGATCGATCAAAAAGTTCTGTCCGAATACACTGGATCAGCAGATCGTGTTTACAACTACGATAAAAATGCTGAATTTGCCAAGAAACTACTAGCTGAGGTGGCTGGTCCAAACTGCATCAAAGTAGGCGTTGTTTGTCATCGATTACTCCGTAAACCAAACTTACCTATTGAGTATCATTGATTCCATGACAGAGTAAATGGTTTTTGATTTCAGAGAGTACGCAGCGATTCAAGAAGCGCCGAGAAAAGCAGTGAGAAATCGCTCGGAAAGGATCTGTTGAGAGATATTGGAAGCCGACCGGATAATACACTGAAACAATTTGAAGGCGAAAAGGTAATGCACATGCAGACTGGTTTAGTGATGAGCTTACGAAAATCTTCATTCATTTATATGCGAACGTCGTGGAATTCATGCATTTGATATGGTAAAACTTGGAGAATCCGGATGAAAATTCCCCTCTTCGTTAGGAATTTTGAAATTTATGAATCAAGCACATCGCCACACGCACATCAGCTGAATCAGTTTGAGAAAAACTTCGCAAAAATTCCACTTTTGTGAACAAACACAAATTTATTGATCTATCAAAAACTGATCAGTTGGTGCGAAGTAGACGAGCTTAAGGCAGCCAGTAGATTAGTCGAAAATAAATTTAGACAATTGCAAATTTCTTTAGGTAATCGTGAAGGCGAAGAATATCGTTGCACCAACATTGAAACGTATCACACCTCGACCTACAGTTGCTTCCTCACGTCGTTCGTCTACAAGACCTTCTCGACCTGTCAGTAGTACACCACGAAGCGCTTCTAAGCGACTTACGACGAAAAGCCCGCTGGCAGATTCAAAATCAAAGCAGCTAACTAGAAAACAATCACTTACTTCGAGGCTTCCTACTGTAGCGAGAGCGAAAATATTCTCATCAACAACACGAACTCCTTCGACCAGACAACCGTCAACGGCGAGTCAGCAAACTACAAAGTTGAGCACTAAGCCGTCAGTTGCCGAGTTGAAGACAACATCGAGACCACGAACCACTTTGAAATCAATAATAACATCTCGAATAACTCCGCAATTCACCCGTCGACCTACGAATAAGACCACTGTTGCTATAACCTCTCGATTTACTACCCGTCCCACGACCACTCGACTCACAACCCGCTTGACAACCCCTCGACCCACCACTCCGACCAGATCACCAACACCCACCGCAAAACCGTTCTCTAGTCGAGC